AATACTTCTCAGACCTAAAGGATCGTTAGGCCATGTTTTCCAAAGGGTTTAATATGTTTGAATATGTTCTCAATACTGTCCATACTCAAACTCTGCATGGCCTTCGTCTACTATAGTACCAGAAGTCCAAAATACAATGTACTTGAGGGGACCTTCGAGGCCACAGAATTCAGGTATATTAGTTGTTATTGGGATTCATAGCCAGGAGCATGACTAGCAAACTTATTGGTTTAGAAGTCCAGGGTTGAAGGTTTTAGGGTTTCAGGGCGTTAGGGCCTTGGGGTTTAAGGCTTCACGGTTTAGGGTTATAATGTGTTTTGCGGCCCGCTTGTTCAGGACCAGGGCAATGATTGTGAGGTCCCCTATAATGTGTTTTGATTTTGGGGCCGTAGAAATATAGGAAAGATTCTCAACTCTCCCCTTTAAATCAATCCACAGAAACCTCAGAACCGCGGGAGGCTCAGGGCCTTTATTGAAGGTACTAAATTTCTATTTCTCTAAGGGCCCCATTATTAGGGGGGGCGGGGGCGGCTGGGACCCTACTCTTTAAAGAGGGTCCAACATTAAGGGGTATTATTATCACAGGCGATCTTTCCTCCCTGGCCTGCAACCAGCAAGCAGAGGCATAAGCCGTCTACTTTGGCGAGCCTGTGTGCGCTTGCTTGCTGGCGGGTTATATGCGCCCTTATAATCCACTCCTTCATTCCCTAATAACCCCCAGAAAGCTTCCAGTCAACTCTGAATGCCGCATACCCATTCAATTTGGGAGTTTCCGAGAAAGAGAGACCCACGGCGCTATGCTCCAAACACAGGGTCTCCAAAACCCATGTGAATCTTTGTAACTACAACTCTTACAACGACATAGCCCTTACCGGGGGCCGGATGCCCTACGGGTAAGGTCAATCCCCCCTACAGTAATGGCCCTTGGATATGCAGTGAATAAGGCCTTGATATACGCATGATAGTCCCTTGTGGTTTCCCATTACTACGGGTGGATGATTGACCCAACCTACGGGTCTCTACGGATTACGGATACCCGCGGCTTTTTGACAAACTCCCCGTTCTGCCGCCAATGTTCGCGAGCATCGCGCGGTGCTGCGAGGGTGGGGACCTCGAGCTGTCTTTGAGGGATCTAGAGTAGGGCTTAAGAGCCTTTGAACGGGCCATAGGAGACTGTCCAATTTCAAGCTGCGCATCTGCGATAGGCTTCTCAAGACCCATCTCTAAACGTGTCGAGAAGTTCAGGGGTGCGGCATGCTCATTCCCAAGGCGCCTGCGCGCAATGCACTGCTTTTGCAAACAAGTCCGGTTTCAACACAGCTGCAAGTGTTGAGCCGAGGCATGGCATAGGAATGCACGAGCCGCATGAGGCATAACTAGCGAGGACCGGTGCTTTTCCCATAGAATATGTCTTGGTGACTCCCTGGCCCTGGATTCAAGCGCTTTCAAGAACAGAGGTCCCCCTGTATCGCTGCACCGTAATAGCCCTCATTGCAAGCATTTCCATTTTTTTGCAAAATGTTGAACCCCATGTCTGCATAGCCAGTCGAGTGTGGCAAGGCTGTATGAACCGCGCTACGTAGCCAGCGCAGAACTGGAAAAATGTCAGGATCCAGCTCGCGCCTGAACAACTCGTTAACAGTTGCATACTGCCAGGTACAACGAGAAGGAAGAACAGCTTACAATAACCGTGCTACTCTTCATGCTGCTGTAGCCGTTATGTAGCCAGGTAGTCCCAATGTTAGCCCCCATAAGCTACAAGAGTCGAACCGTCCGGCTGCTAGTTTCAAATATCATCTCCAAATCCCATCCACTCCCGAAATCTTCCCTAAACTTTCTCGTGCTTAAGAAAGAGGTGGCGAGTACATCCCCATAATTGATCCTGTTGCCTCACACTAGCATTGCCAATAATATTACTATTACTGTTACTATTGCTATGACTATGACTATTACTTTTAGTATTATTACTACTACTACTACTACTACTACCACTATGTCTGCTACTACTACTACTACTACTACTATTACCATCACAACTACTACTGCTGCTGTTATCACTACTGTTGAATGATCCTTTATTCACTCCCCAGCTGCCACTTAAGAACCCGCAGGTAGAGCTTTACTAAAGTAGGTTTGGGGCCCCATAAAAATTGACTCTTCATGACTTAGCAACTAGGAATTACAGGTAACTAAAATGTGACAAGCATGTTCAAACCCAGCCCTGTAAGCGTGACATTTCGTTTTTTACAACAATGTTCAAACCTACCCCTGTTTAGCCCCTGAAACCAAATCAAGCCAGGGAGCTTGGCTGGGCCTCAGAAAGGTTAAGGGTTGAGGGGTCTGACGACTGTCAAGTTGAGAGTGTCATGGGCTTTGGGCTTAGGGTTTAGGCATAATTTCATTAAGGTGTAGCTTTCAAAGTCCTAGTGGGCTGATTGGGGAGGTATGTTCCGTTCATTCAGCCTTACGAATGTCAGGCCACCTTGAAACTGTCAAAATACAGCAGCAATCTGCAGCATGTCGCCCGATGTGCAGCTGCAAGGAGCGCTTATGGAAAACTGGGTTGCTGTTAAGGAACTTAAATTAAGTTACCATAATGGGTATATATGGTAAATAATAAGGTTTCCCCAATATAGTAACTTAAATTGAGTTCCTTAACAGCAACCCAGAAAGTGTCAACGATCGGAAGTTTTTGCACTAACCATAGGCTGCCTCTCAGGAACCTCCATGCTATCTCCATGTCTGTGTCTGTGTCCTTCTTTGAAGCCACCAGGAACCTTCTCTCCCTTAAGGGGGGAGATACAAGAAATGCTCTGTACAGTTTTCAGATTTCGGGCCTACAACTCGGCCAGCTTCATCTCTAACTCTTTATGTACATAAGCGAAAGCAGATATAAACGTACGTATATATACATACATAGCTGTATATTCTAGCGCGCAAGGTTCAGCAGAAATTCTCTTCACACAACCACCCCACATTCATGATGCCTGGACGACATGAATTGATATCCCAACATCGCATTGCTTCACGTAACGACAAAGATTGCATGCACGATTGCCTCTACTTACATAACAGCTCATGACTACGTTAGCTATGTACAGGTCTTCTCATCTTGAGTACATAGTAATAAGAATAAGAACAATAATACTATAGTCCTGACTCGGTGAAGAGACAGTACTCAACACATGTACGAATCTTGTATCAACTTCAGTGACAGCAGTAAGACACAGAGCCACCACCCAAGACTTTCCCATAAACCTTAATCCTCATTCCTATAGCTTGGGGCCTGACCTGCCATCTCCCGAATGACCTTTTCTTGCTCATTCAGCTTCTCCTGTGTCGGTTCACATGGACAGTTGCCATACCTTGGGTCTATGCCTAGGATAATATTGACTCAGGGTTTTGGGTTTCGAGTTGGGTACTGCCCGCACCCATTAACAGTCTAACAAACGTGGTCAAAGAAGGGCTCTATATCGGATTTAAGGTTTAGGGAAGCAATCCATTATAGGGGTCATATTAAGGGCTCTATATAATCTCACTGCTAATGAGTGGGGGCAGTATCCAGGCCATACGTGCGGTCGTCCTGTGCAGAAACGGGAACAGGTATGTGGTGAATGCAGGACTACCAATGAGAAGCAGCACATGTTGCTAAAAAACGATGCGTTAACGGAAGAATACCTCAGCTGTATGCTATTAGCCATATGAGGCAGTTATCAGTGGTATGACCCTTTTCCAAATCTAAACACTAAGCCCTAAACCCTGAATGCCAAGCCCTGAACCCTGAATCCTAGGCCCTAAACCCTGAACCCCACATCCTAGATCATGGTAAGGCCGCAAAAACCTTGGAAGCTTTGCAATGCAAGTCAACCCTGCCATCATCATGTGAGCTATACTCTAAACTCCTAGTATCCCCCTAATAACCCCTATAGTCATTCCCTATATAATCCCCTATATAACCAGCTAAACCCTAAACCCTAAATAAAGGTGGTATATAACTCACAAAAAAAACATTTTAGGAGTTTTGACTATAGATCATGTGTGAATATGATGCTGACAAGGCAGCTGTGAGCCATAGGTTTAGTGCAACGTTTTTGAGCAACCAAAGGCTTAGGGTTTAGGGTTTAGGGTTTAGGGTTAAGAAGTCCCTCACTTTGCACCCCAAGTCCTGTGAACCCAACCAAAGGACACAATTCCCAGGCAAATGACCAACCGCGCCACTGCCTCCAGAAAGAGACAAAATGCAAGCTACCCGTATGTGCTGGCAGCCTGGGTGCACTAGAACTAGTACAATCCCCAACCCCTAGTGACCTAGTGTTGATACTAAAGTCCTGCATCACGTGAAACCTCTGGTAGTTTGGTATTACAAGGTCATCAAGTGTTACGCGTAACCCCAATTACCTACCACTGTTTTATGGGTTATACCTATAAATCGGGGGGTGAATTAATTCTCAATCATACAACCCTGAACCCTTTAATCCCCTAAACCCTGAACTCCCAAAATCCGACAGGGAGTATCTACAGTCTCCTTTACGTAGATAGAATATGGCTTTGGGTATATTATACTAACATCCCCATATACCCCATACTCCATCTACTCAAGGGGGACTATAAGCCCTAAACCTTAAACCGTAAATAATACTTTCCATTTTCCTTTTCCAATATCCCTACATAACCCCAATATCCTATAATAGTTTCCACTCTCTTTTTCATTATCCCTATATAACCCCTATATCTACTTAAGGGGGACTATAACCCCAACATATACCCTATTATAATATAGTAGTTTCCATTTTCTTTTCCATTATCCCTGTACCCAAAACCCTAAACCCAACACCCTAAACCCAAAACCCTACTTAAGGGGGGGGCTATACACTAAGCTGGCGGATCCTGAAGCTCGCAGACTTGCTGTCCTGTGCAGATCAGCCTTAGCTTCAGAATTCCAGGCTTAGGGGGTTTAGGGTTTATAGGGTTTAGGGTTTAGGGTTTGGGCTTAGGTTTTCGAGCTCTTGCAATTCCTGGACTGAATTGAGGGCCCGCGTTTAATGAGACTGTAGGGAGTTTGGGGTGCGTTATAGCTCCTCAAAGGCAGCAAGGTAATACTGTTGCTAATGATCCAGTTCTACACTATCTCACAATCTCTATGCAACCCTGGTTTCCATGACATTTGTTTGCCATTGGCTTTCCACTTGGTTCTTCGGTATTGTGGTCAAGTCCCTTGCCCCTATGTATCCCTACAAGCCCCGTGCATCATGTAACTTACCTTTGATTCTCCAATATTGTGGTAAACACGCTGGCCTTGCAGCTAGTCAAGATATCTTCTAGGGATCATATGAGCCAGAATCTAAACTCCATGCATACATACATACATGTGCCTGAGAAGCACATAGGTTACCGATACTTGCAACTGGTGGATCTCTTTTCAGCACGTCCAGGCCTGATGCCATCAACAACTTCGTGGAATCGCTGTACTATAAAGTTGGTTAGGGTTTAGGCTGTTGGGGTTACTATCAAGTTGGCGGTCGAAGTACCACCACATTACCTCTATGGTCTGAGCATCTTACCGCTACAATGGAGAATCAAATAGAAAACGAAATAGAAACTTGGAAGAAACGAGTCTACAGGCTAAGTACAAAGTTCAATTTGAGGCTGCGGTGGCATCCAGCGGTAAATCGTTGAAAAGGTATGCAGGGCAAGTAAAACAGCCTGGAAGGAGAACATGTTGCTACAGAGGCTTTTGCCCAAACGCTGACGAAACCGAACAGGAACCTGGCCCGAAACCGTATGGCAAGTACCGATGCCCTGCATCAGAGTCATCCAGCAATGCCCGAGGCCTGGCTTGAGGAATCCCTGAACCCTATACCCTAACCCCTAAATCCTACTCCCCAAAACCCTGAACAGGAAGAACTTGCAGGCAAAGAAGCTCATACTGGACCGCCTTTCGCTTCTGCAACTCATCCAAAAGCTCTTGCTGAACCTTTGCCTGGTGAGCAGTGTGAATGGCTGATTCTTTTTGGGGGTATAAGGTTTAAGGTTTAGGGGTTTAAGGGTTCAGGGGTTTAGGGGTTTAAGGGTTGAGGGGTTCAGCGGTGAAAGGGTTTAGGCGTCAGGGACTCGGACTATAGTTGGAATTCTAGTCCATTTTGGGGGTGCATAGGGGACCCCAATTTAGAAGACTCCCGCTTTTCAATGTCAAACTCAGGCACCTCCTTCCCATTCTGCCGCCAACATGTTAGGGTCCTTACGCTGAGGACCCTAAGCAGGACCCTGTAAGCTTGTCAACCAAAACCTAACCCCTCAACCCTGAGCTCCTGAACGCTGAAGAAAAAAAGATAAAAGACGAAACTTCAGCTTTAAAAGCCGAAGCCCCGCTGCAGCTGAATCTGCCCCCTTTTGGCGAATCTTAGGTCTGCGTAGGGGGTTATATAATAGGATTGTAGAGGTCCTTGCTCAGGATTCTACAGAGGTTCCATGGCAAACTTGCAGGACAGTACTGTCCCTTCTGCCTGTTGCAGGTACAGCCTAAGCCCAACACATTCAAAAGCTGCGACACGCGCCCGCATGCAGCCGCCGAGCCCCCCAAAATGGAAGAAACGCAGATGACAAATGCTTGCAAGTTCGTGAAGTCAAACGTGCAGGTTTTCGCGCTGCCACTCCATAGACCGGGCTCCTGTATGTCATGCTACAGACCAAACACATCGCCTCAAATTCTTGCACACCTGATCCGCAAGACCTCTTCATGATCCCACGGTGATTCCTGAATTTATGCAGCAGGACGACCGCTGCATGGGGAGGATTAACTCAAAAACGACAGGCAGCAGCCAAGAAAAAAAACATAAGGCCCTGAAGAGGGCCGCAGGTGATCAAGCCATGCGCCACATGATGCGACTACGACTGGCTGCTGAGCTCCGCACAAAACCCTTCGTCTCTCCTGTGACCTGGACCAAGCTTCGCAAGAAAATGCTAACAACTGCCAGCACCAAGCACCAAAAGTGGACAGCGTGAAAGTGCTGATCATGCAGGACCAACATGTGCCCAACCTGTGCATGGCAAAGCCATCCTGCCTTTCGTAGGATGGTAAACCTTTTGTGGGTCCCTGTATGTAAGCGTATATACACCTCTATCCCTCTATCTCGCTAGATAACCCCATATATCCCTACGAGCCCTATATATCCCCAAGGCAGCACCAACTACGACCGCCTGGATTTAGGACACGATGTTTCAGGAGTTTGGGAACCAGCTAGAGACGTGGAAAATCATGCTCCCATCTTCATGAGGATTCAAAAACCTAAGCATTGGCTTGCAAACCGCGATGCGGATCAACTATAGAACTCTAGTTTGCTTAGACCTAAAATCAAAAAATATGTTCCAAAGTTCCTTAGGGTTATTCCTAAGGAGACAACAGAGAAGTCAAGCTTTTCAGCACGCTTTCAACCAGGAGCAGGCAAACCTTAATCCCTGCATCCCGGCCCCTGAACCACAAGACCCGAAAAGCAATCCCCGAACTCCCAAGCTTAATGTAGGGTTGGGCAAGGGGGCACTGTAGAGCTTAATTTATTAGGGTTATATTGGGATAATGGAAAATAGAATGGAGACTACTATTTAAGGTTAAAAGGGTTTTGGGTTTAGCCTAATGTAGACTTATGATTAATAAAACCACTGCTTTTAGGGGCCTAAATATTAGGATCCCTATTAAAAATCCTTATTAAGGGGGGGAGTTGATTACTCAGGGGTCTTGGTTAACAGCCAGTGGACCCCAAATGACCTATAGTCTAGACTCCTCGTATCCCCCTTAATAACCCCTATCATACTCCCTATCTAGTCCCCTATTTAACCCCCTTTAGAGAGTCTAGACTATAGCTCAAATCGCACATTTTGTTGGTAGCCTTTTCCGACTTTGAGCGCTCCTTGATCAGCTCCATCTCCTCAGCTATGATGAAGATTATAACCAAATTGTGTAAGGGGCCTCCTTGAAAGGGCGCCCAGGGGCTCCTAGAGGGTCTATCCTAGCTGACAGAAGATCTGGGATTTGCACAGCTCGTATGATGAGGACGTACTGATGTTCAGGGTTTGGGGCTGAGGGTTCGGGGTGTGGGGTTCGAGGATTGTGAAGCAGCGCAAGGCACCAGCGGAAGCGCAGTGCCTCTCACATGTGCTTCTCAGCATAAGGTGTAGGACATCAGTTACACGACCGCCACCGCTTGGCTAAAGTTTGCACACAGGTGTAGGCGAAATTGTACATACCATACCTGTATATACCTGTGGAAGGCTTGTTAGGTGGTCATTTTCCTCAGTACCCAGCCTCAGAACTCTAAATGCCTCAACTCTGATCCCTGGGAGTTCCCCCTGAAGTTCCGCGCACACTGGAAGCCTAAAACCCTGAAGCCAAGAGGCTAGAGCTTTGACTCTAGACTCGAGCCGGCGAATCTGTTCCTTGAAATGCATTGGGTTGGGGTTCAGAGATTGAAGGTTTCCTGCTCGGGGGCTTAAAGTCTTGGGGTGTAAGGTTTGAGCCTCTGAGGCTTGGGCATTACGTGTCAGGATTTTTTCACGGGTCCTCCCTGCCATGCCCAATAATGTACATTGTGCTGTTGCATGGTTAAGAGAACAGAAGTAGTCCAACTTGGAAGCCCTTTTCCCGCATCATAAGCCCTAATCCACAGTCCCAAACCGTAATCTCTTACTAGTGCTCCGACAAAAGCTCCAAAAAGATTAACATGCTGGGGCTTTGGGAAGGACCTGAAATTGTGACTCTTGTAGCTTATGGGGATTAATAACAGGGACTACCTGAAATGGGAGGCATGAGAGCACCATGTAAAGGTTCTAAAGGGGTCCCGGACAAATTCCCTCCAAAAAACCTTGAGCCCAAACACCAACAAAGCTTCATCCCTTCACGTCCACAGACCCAGATGAGGCACATATGGCCCCAGTCACAAATTATTGCCGCAAGCGGTACGTATACCGCGTAGTAAGAGACTGTAGGAGACTGGTCTGCTGCCAAGAACCTTAAAGTAAACTAGGGTATATACAACACTTAATATGGTTCTCCTAACATCAACTAATTTCTTTGACAGCAACCCTGACTATCCGTGCGCATTGTTCCCTACCTACGGTTTCGGGTTTAGGGCTTAGGATTAGGGCTTAAGGTTTAGGGCTTAGGGCCCCTAAACCCTAAACCCTGGGTTCTGGGCTCAGGGTTAGGGTTTGCATGCTGAGGCGGGGGGCATCCTTCTCTGTGGACTTTCTCCGCTCTTTCTCCAGCTGCGCCTCGCCAGCACATGGTGCGGGTTTAGGGTCTATAGTGCCCCTTAAGTAGATAGAATATGGCTTTAGGTATATTTTAATACGTTCCCCCCTATACCCCATATTCTATCTACTAAAGGGGGACTATAGATTTCATGGTTCAGAGTTAGGGCTTCAATCTTAAGCTTTGGGCTTCAAAGCTTCTAGGGTTCGGTCTCATGGGTTTAGATTCTGAGGGTTTAGGGACTATCCGATTTCGAGCACTGAGTGTCCAAGTAAACCATTCCCCTCGAAGAATACAAACTTGTCCCACCCCCTAACAACCCGTTTTTCCCAATACAATCTTCCCACTACAGTAGCATCATGTGAGCCATTCTTAAAACTGCGGGCCCCTTTTTGGCCTTAAACTTATATCAACAAGTCGTTGTTCTGAAAACAAGTATTCTATTGTGACCATCTGCGTTATCTTTGCAGAAGAACCAAAAGAAGATCTTTTAATTGTTCCAGATGAGCCACTGTCTAAACTCCTAGTATCCCCCTTAATACCCCCTGCAATACTCCCCTAAACCCTAAACCTAATAATATTAATCCCCCATATACCCCCCTGCCTTAGGAGTTTGGACTATGGCTCACATGATGAAAACAATGGTTCAGCCTTCCCTCTGCAGTCCAAAAAAGTACCACACGGGTTTAGGCTTTAGGGGTTTAGGGGTTTAGGGGTTTAGGGGATAGGGGTTTAGGGGTTAGGGGTTTAGGGTTTAGGTTCGCCAGTAACCCATTAATACAAGGGTACCCTTTTCCTAATCAATGTTCAACTTAATAAGGAGACCCCAAAAGACAAAAGGGAAAAGGGTACTACGTATCTGGCAGTTCCGTAGGCTCCAAATGCCACAATTGAATGCTGTGGATTTGGGGAACACGTTGGGTCCTGCCCCCACCCATGTACAGTCTTTGGTAAGGGTCATATAAGGGGCTAGATATAAGTATATTATGAATATTATCCAACTGTTCACCCAAGTTGTATATGTCTTCAGCGTAGGAGACTGCATGAATACAAGGTAATTGGAAAGCGTTAAAACATGTCCTGGAGGCCATCTTAAAGCATAGTCTACTTGAGCTCATGTATTTGTTTGCCCTCATAGTCCGCCTTAAAAGAGTAGGGAATTGCCCAATATCATAATATGATGCCCATATACCCCGTATCCTATTTACTTAAGGGGGACTATGGTAGTCTCCTTTTTCTTTTCCACTATTAATATATAACCCCTATAAACACCGTAGTAGTTTCAATTTGTTGTCTATTCTTACCATATAATCTCTTTAAACACTTCACCCTAAACCCTAAACAGCAGCACCGTGGCCTTCAGGCCGTCCTCCTCACTCATGGAGTCGGTACTGCACGTTGACGCTTCGGAGTCCATGGCCCCGCGCTGGGAGGGGAAAACTCAGGGGCTTCCCAGTTGCGAGACCCAACCCGGCAGAAGAAAAAGTCTGAAGGTGCCCATAATCTGAAAGGAAAGGAAATACAGAAATGCAGCCGCTGACTGCAAGAGCCGTAGCTTGAAGAAACCATCGTAAGCTATCCAACTTTTGGCATGGGACATGGACGAACATCTCGAGCCATAACTACCAGTGAGAATCAAAAAGTAGCAATAATAACAGTAAGAACAATAATAACAACCACAGTAGTAATAGTAGTAGTAACGAAAGTAATATTAATAATGATAGCCAGCACAAGGCCAAATAGGCGAAAGTGGGGTGCCAAAATACCGTCAGAGGCATCGGCGGAGGGCGCGAGGAGTTTCGTTTCTGCTTTGTGTGCCCCTGCTGTTCTGCAGTTTATCGTGTTTCTGTCAATCATGTTCTGACAGCTGGGGAGAGAGGTCCCTGAGCTTGAAAGGGCAGATGATTCATATTAGGGTTACATATGGACAATGGACATAAAAAAGGAAACTGCTATGGTCCCCCTTAAGTACATGGAATAGGGGGTATATGTAATGGAACAGACAACAGAAACTAGTATTAGGGTCATATATTCATGTTTGCCGCTTGCACTCATGTACACAAGTACTCGAGGCTTTCGGATCTTCCCCTGCTGACCCCCTCCTCCTAATATCAAACACCTCCCCCAACCCCCCCTAATATTAGATACTCCCAATGTACTATACTATACCACAATGGGGAGTATTTGATATCACGGGGGTGGGAGGGTTTTCATATTAGGGGAGGGGATTAATCCCTTTGACTCCTTCCTGATTCCCTCTGAAGAGTTGTGCTTTGAAGACGTCAACCTCCAGTCCGGCCTACCATGGGTAAGTCATACCACAGCTCCACAACCCTCAGCGGATCCCAGGGAGCCCAATACCCCTTAATCAAGGGGTATAGCTTCAATCATTTTAGGGATCCTAGTGCCATTTAAGGTATGTTCCTTAATTACGGGGTATTGGGCTCTCTGGGATTGCAATGCGACTGTAAGCCTGAAACTCGTCCGGACTCCTTATGTACCCTACACGCCACCCTTCTAGATTGCCTCTTTCCAGGCATGCCTTCTACGCACAAAACTAGCTGCCCTGCAGCTCAAGGGTAGGCTGAAAGTGTCTGTGTCTAGGTAGACCCCAGGGAAGCAAGTCGTGCTGCTCCGAACCTCACGAAGCAGGCAACTCCATTCCGATGACCTGCCCGCAGTCTGCATTCTAGGAAGTAGTCAGGGCTTTTTTATAAGGGCTCAGGTACCTGTGGGAAAGGGACAGGGAGGGACGGGGAGGGACGGGATCGAAACGGTAGAGGGAGATGAGGATGGGGGAGGGAGAGGAGGAGAGTCGGGAGAAATGAAAGAAGGGGGGAGGAGGAGACGGAGGGAAAACGGGAGAAGGAGAGAGGACAACATCCCTAACACTGCCTGAGGCCAGTTCCAACAAATGCTCTCCGGTGTCAACAGAGGCGGATGATTTTGCAAGCCGCTCGCAGGTGGTTCGAGGAATATATTGTCCTGGAGGCCCAGTAGCAACTCTTTACACGCAAGCTTGCGCAACGTACTGGCAGGTCGATTTCATGCCCTGTCCCTTGAACTCCACACGTTGCAGCACTGCGTAGTCTCTAGCGCAAGAGCTCTGCCAAGGCAAAATCCCCTTGTCACTGGCGATCTTCGAGTTGTCAACAGTGTACACCTTCAATCTCCAAAGGGATGGAACCATGCGGACACAGCTGGCTAGAAACGAGCCCGGGCCGGGTATAAATAGAAGCTGTAAGGTATGACTTGAAAACTCTTCTACATAGTAGGTTCACAAGAACAATTTTACATGACCTTGCATAGGGACCCTATGATCCTCTTGCAATCCCTGTATATACCGTACCTAGGGTGCCTAGGGACTCCAAACTTGAACAAAATCCTAGAAGCTGTGTTGCTCACCAGCTTCACGTTCCCACCAAGAGGCGTGCAGTCCTTAGAATAGCTCGCCATGTAGGGTTTAGGGTTCAGGGGTTTAGGGTGTAGGGTTTAGGGGTTTAGGGTTTAGGATCTAGGGTTTAGGGTATGAGGGAGAAAGTATTTTCTTTCACGTGCTCATAAGCGAGCGGATAGCCTCAAAATGAGCAGGCTGCGAACAAACACAGTAAAATCTATTTATAAACAGCATTCAGGATCTATCGCGGCCATAGGCGTCCACTTGGTTATCATGGCTGATCTGCTGCCACGAGGGAAGACTTGCTTCAGAAAGAGTCCAGAAATAACTTCCCCTGCCGGGCATTCCAGCACCAAAGAATCTGTCACCGTTTGCAGTTCGCGTTCCGCGAAAATTGTATCATCCAACTTGTCATTGGCGATGACAGTGTAGTTGATGCCTTCTCCTGGATCATCTGAAGTACTTTCCTTAGTCTGCGCAAAAATGACGGGTCCTTCATGAAGCTTAGCTGGCAAAACGTAGGCTAGGACAACCGCCCAGAAACTGCTGGGCATGTGTGGAAGAATTCAAATTTCCACTCCAATCCACGTTTGTACGAATAAAACCTTGGCCGGGGAAGGGCTTGAGACCTTTAAGTCCTTTGTCAGGTGCCATGACTGTTCATATCGTTCTTGCAACACCTGCTGTCACACAGATCATACTCCCGCTTTTGCTGCTACTGTTATTGTTACGGGCGGGCAATTCCAAAACGAGGGTCTGCAATAATCCTTCTGCAAACACGTCTGGAGAGTATGCCGGGGCGCTCCAAACGAGCATCTACTTCAAGTGGTTATGCAATGACAAGACATTTTTTAAAAAGGCTTACTTCCTGAGAGCTCAGCGAATTTTCTGCCAAGATGCATCATGCCCCCTGCCCATACGTTAAATTGGCGATGTATGGCCTTTATCTTCTGCACGGCTGGCCAACCATGGTCGTACAGAGGATACCATAAGCCTAGCATGTTGCCCAAACATGAAACTCCTGAGGCTCCTCGTCACTACTTCAGGGTTTAGGACTGAAGGTTTACTAAAAAACGAACATGTCCACAAGCAATTCCCAAAAATGTCCCAGGAGCATTTGACAATGAAGTTTGCCACCGAACCATGCGCAGCCCATGCTGACTCTGGAGAGGCACACCACTGAGGCACATTGGCACCGCTTGGATTGAACAGCTGATTCTGCAAGAGCGACCTGAGGACTTCAAAACGACAAGTTCTCAGACTGCGCATACCGATTTTAGTGCTCGACACTTGCTGTCAAATATTTGCTCCAAACCGTTGGATTCTAAATGTTCAAAACTCCGACCTGAACTTCTCAATCGCACTTCTGTGGATTGCTTCGTAGTCCATATCCCGGTTCTGCTGCTGGGCCATTTCAAAGGTCTGGAACTTCTGACTGATCTTCTGGCGCGGTCCATCTTTGTTGGAACATTCTATCCAATCCTGCGTCTCCAGCTCAAGCTCCGGACGTGAAACTTTCATGGTCCTTGCTTCCCCAGTTTCTGAGGGGCCCACACCCTCATGTTTCAATACAATCTCTTCCTACCCTCCGAAAACCTATTGCTCCGCCAAGAAAAGCAGAAACTCTGTTTAAAGAGACCACTAACCTATGCCTTCGGAGGACCCCCAACCTGTGATAGTGGTATAATAGGAAAAAAGAGGACCCTGATATACTTCATCTTTATCAACCCTTGAAGTCACGCTTACGGGGTGGGGTCCACCTGCCCCAGAAAAGTCAAGCGTCAGCCTCATCTTGCGGCGCTTGGCCTTGAAATCGTTGTGGCAATCCCAAGTGCTCCAGCTGTGGGTGGGCTCCTGGAAAAACACTTTCCACCGGCGTGAAAGACCCCTCACACCACCGTATGAAAAATTGTTTGCAAACGACGCCCATATGTATTGGGCTGCATACTTAACATTGGAGCGTGGGGGGGCGGTGTTCAAGGCGTGTATACTATCTGTCTATTTATCTATCTGTCCATCTTTCTATCGAACTATATTTGTCTATTCATCTATCTGTGGCGGGAAGTGACTGCACGAACTAGAGCTTAAGCAGGGGTGAGAGTTCGGGGTTCCAGGATGTTCCAGGGTCCTGGGTAGAACTGTGCAACTGCAGGGTTGTCCCACTGCTTCTCCCACATCACTGCCAAGTGGGAATCACCTGAAGGCTTTTTAGGGTTTAGGGTTTAAGGGCTTCATACTGGTGGTGGACCAAATTCTGCATGACCTTAGTACCCGAGCAGACTAAACGATAGCAACAGAGTGCTTGCAATGTTTGGGCATAAAGGGTTGCAGGAGTTTGTCCATCCACAGTAGTTCAGGTTTCGCACTGCAGCCCAAGACATTGAGGACCTGGATAGGAGGCCCTTTAAGGGCTTCAGTAAGCGCGGGAGTGATGGGAGTGCCGTTGAATTTTGGCGCCCAATTACATCACATGATATGCTTTCTGCGCCTGCTTCGGCAAAGGATCTGGCGTGGGGAAAATTCTGAATTAAGAGCATTGCCAAATTACTTGTTGCAGTTTGTACCGACTGCTTCGGATGCGAGTTCCAAACCTTCCGGGTTCGTTTTCTGGGATGAGTCCTTGCGAGGATTTATTCTTGGGACACTTATGGTTTGCAAAGCACATGAAGGGTCCCTTCCACTGCGGAACACCCATCCAAGCAGTAATACGGTAGGATCAATAAACGAGACCATAGAAAACACCCCCAATCATCATGTCCTACAGTCTTCGCAAAGTAGCCCTCGTTAGAACGGTAGTCCCCGTCTCATGCCATAGTCGCAAAAAGGCCTTGTTTCAGCTTCCCTCCCTAAACCACCACCTGAACCACTGCCGTATGTCTGTTTAGGGCACCGCACATATGTAGCACTTGCCATGTGGCAGACTACTGTTGCACTGTATCGTACCGTGCCACTGCTAAGCATTGGGACGTTCGTCAGTACTGGGAATATATGTATATATATATATAGAGTAAATCCCCAAAATCCCCAAAACCTCCCATCAATGCCCAAAAGTGTCGTTTTGGAGGGCCTAAACCGCCTTAAACGAATAGGAGTTAGGACTAAGGTTTAGCGAACAAGGTTCAGCGAATAAGGATTAGGGAATATAAGAGTTAGCGAGTAAGCTTTAGCGAATAAGGCTTAGGGCCCAAAACCAGGAACGGCCCCGGACCTTTCTTGGTCTACAGAAATGGAGCGGAAGTCCAGGTCGAAGTTTCGCTTCTTTTACAGTTTGGGAATAAGGTTTATCGAATAAGGTCTAGCGACTAAGGATTAACGACTAAGATTTAGCGATCAAGATTACGGCTTAGCGACTAAGATTTAGCGAGTAAGGTTTAGCGAATAAGGTTTAGCGAATAAGGTTTAGCGAATATAGTTTAGGGCCCAGGACGGGGGAGGGCCCAGGAACGGCCCTAGCCTAGATAGAAAGGGCTTCTCTTGGCTTACAGAAATGGAGCGGAAATTCTGGCGGACATCTTGTTTTGGGGTGGGTGGGAATAAGTTTTAGCAAGTAAGGTTTAGAGAATATGGTTTAGGGAATAAGGTTTAACGATTAAGGTTTAGGGCCCAAAACGGGGGAGGGAGCCTGGATAGAAAGGGCCTTTCTTGGTCTACGGAAATGGTGCGCAAATCCAAGTACAAACTTCGCTGCTGCTTGTACAGTTAAGAAATTAGGTTTAGCGAATGAGGTTTAGCGACTAAGATTTAGCAAATGAGGTTTAACGCGGCCAAGCCACCCGAACCTACTCCTTTTCAGGTTTAGACTCGACCTACACTCAGTTAGGTCCATTTTGGTCAACAACACAAATGCATTTCACTTGGTGTTTTCGTTGTTGAAGGATCTCAAAGCTTCCTGCAAGCCCCCTATACAGGTCTGGACCAAACTTAGAAGCTGGGAACCCTGAAGGAAGGTCCTGGCAGGCCCGTTCAGAGTGCCCTGAACCACTGCTTGCTTTGGGAGGTCTTGGGAGAAAGAAGGCTGTTGAGGCCCTGAGTTCTGAACGGTTGAGGTGTTGGGAGGCACCAGACCTCCAGTTCTGAGAGGCGACAAAAGCCCGGCCAAGCTTGTGGGAGGCCGAGTTCTGGGAGGCGGGAGAGGCCTTGGCAGAGGGCCAGGAACCTTTTGCTGCATACCGTTTTGGTGCTCGTGGAGGAGGGCCTGGGGGTCTAGGACCCACCAGCTACCCCCAGAACGAGAGGCTTGGGGTTTAGGGTAAATATTGAACAACCAGCACTAATTACAAGGACTTCAGGTGCCGGGCCCATCGTGGGTGCTGCCGCAACCGTGGCTGCGCTGAGACAGGGCTAGGTCGAGACCTCTCGCCACAGAGAGCGAGGGGCTTAGGTGCCGCCCACCCACACCAGTGGGTGGGCGGCCTAGGCCATGAGTTTAGGGTGTAAGGTTTGAGGTTTAAGGATTAGGGTTTATAATCGCCCCTAAGGATTAGGGTTTAGGGCTGAGGGTTTACCATACTTCTACAAGGAACCTAGAACCATAATGCTGGTAACCAGTCAGGCTTCTAATGGCTTCTACATTAAACCCTAATCTCCCCCTTTGCGACCTCATGCCTGCATAGCCATCTGCTTCACTCTGCGCCGCAAACTGTTTCGAAGCGCCTCCTCCTGAAATACCAGGTCCTGCCTCAGATCCACCGATGCTGGTGCAGGGTTTAGGATTCAAGTTTATGGTTCACGGTTTAAGGGGTGGGGGAGTGAATAGCAGATAAGGATCCATGCCCCACTCCCCCCTTAGCTTCAGACATGGGCTTCCAAATTTCTACGTTAGGGGCCCCTGTATACCCCCGTACAGTATGGTCCATTCAACATTCCGTACCGTTCCCTATCCGAAGCTCACATCACACTGGCCTAACCGAGAAAGCATGAAGACTATCAACTTTAGCAAAAATGCTGCGCAAGACCCTGCAACCTAACCCCGTAAACCCTAAACCCCTGAACCCTACACCCCAAACCCCGAAACCCCTGAACCGTGTCGTCTGGCTGCATCTTCGAAACAACGAGCACATAGAGCAAGAAGTGATCCAGAATTACCATCCTTACTTGCCTTAAGGATTTAGGGTTCTAGGGTTTAGGTTTTAAGCTTTAAGGATTTAGGGATATCAACCCTGTAGGAGCAGAAAGTAAGGAAGTAGAAAGGGAGTGTTGCCTTTATTCTGCTATTGTCATTGTCCTTTTTTGAGGGTCTAGGGCTTACTATGGCTTACTAGCGAGTTAGTACATGAAGCAACGCTTTAGGTTTAAAGGTCAGGGTACATGTGGAAGCAGGTCACAAAGTTTTGGCAACATTGCCATATAACGCCTAGAAAAGACCCGAGAATACTTTCCTATTCAGCTCCTACTCTGGGGGTCCCTAGCCCATATGTCTAGAATTCCCCAGTTACCATGTCATCTTTCATTTGCTTTGTCATTCCCTACTATCCACCAGGAAGCGTCGTAAGCCTGGCCGAAACCGTGTCTAGAACTTCTAGAACCGATTCATTCAGGCCTTACTTAGCACCAGTAAGCCCTAAACCTTTAAAACTAACAAAACAATGGCGGTGTTCCCTATATGCTCCCTGTATGCTCACATAGGAATATATGATATCCCAGGGTCATAAATTGAGCTCGATCCTCAACCGGTCGCAACTTGCCTGCCGACTGATCTTCGCGGATTGCATCTTCCTCAAAGCGCTCAGGCGTCCAAGCACCCAAATAGGAGAGTTGTATAGCGGTGTACTTGATGATGCGGGGGTATATATACATGTGTATATATATATGTGTGTATATATATATATATAGAGGGATCTATAAGGCAAGGTTTGGTGAAGGGAGCCCAAGCGTCCAACAGGCCCTAAATATCCTGGGAGAGTTTCGGGCGGGCAGCCACTAGGTGGACATCCCCGCAGGTCTACATAGATCGTAGATCCCCAATGCGCTGATACGAGCATTGCATCATCTGAGCTATAGTCTCAACTCCTTAAAGGGAGTTCTACAGGGATTATATAGGGATCTCATTATAGGGCTGATTAAGGGGATTGCTATAGGAGTTTAGACTATAGCTCATAGGAACCGCAGGCGGGGGCACCCACCTAGAAGTGCTGTTGGCCTCCCGAATGGTTCCCGCCAGTGATAACTGAGTAGCGTTTTTTGTTGTTAAACCCAGTAAGATATTATTCCTTATATAAAATACTATACCCCAAAAAGAGGATATGATCTTACTCTATCTGGGTACCATAGTATCCCCAAATAGAATACTACTCAACTAAATCTTGCAGTGGTACACGGCATCACCCATGAGAGTCCCCCGCGGCCCACGCAGGTGACCATTGCTATTGCTACTGCAGGAGTTCCTGCTTATGTGCCTTATGCCTTGGGAATTGCAATTTCTTGGGGGTCCTGAGTGGTGCATGATTTCCTGCATCCACCGTCTCACTATTACCATCAAGCAGGGCATGGCAACATCAAACTGTTTCGATAAGCCGTCATGCTTCTCGGTCGGGGACAAGAAGTACAGGTATTGCAGCAGCCAGCGAATTCTCCTATGCTGAACATGGAACCCTGATAAAGATCATAAGTTTAACGGTTTCTTAGGATTGTAAAAGGCAAAAAGTAAAAAGTACTTCCAAGTACCCCCAAGTTTCAATCATGAGCCAGCGATTGAAGGATGCCTCTCTGACATTTTGGAAGCCAACTGTCACATTACCCTAGGGAGAAAACAGGATCCTTCTTACATAGATATAAGGAGCCACATACCACCC